GAGCGCTTGTGGCATGGGCAGCTTGCATGTCTGGAAAGGCACCATTAATGTATATATTATATATGTACATATATATATATACACATATATGTATATATATATATGTATGGTTTAATTTAATAATTTTAATCATCTGTATTCTGTTTAATTTACCAGAAACTTCAAAATAATTCTCACTCTGTTCTGAAACCTGTTTCCAAGGTCTTACCGCCACCAGCTGGTGAGGTACTTGACGTCAGTTTGAACACCGCCCAATGGAACCAGTACTGAAAGGGGATATGGAAACACAGCGTGTACCATACCGAGTCGAGTTAAACTGTGCTGTACCGGTACTAAGAGGTGCTATGGAAAAAGGGCATTAGTCAAGCACACCACAAATCTGGCATTCATGGAAGAGTGACAAGAAGATAACTATTTTATTACAAAAAAAAAAAAAAAAGTCAGGTTTAAATTTGTCAAAAGCCGAGTAGAAACACAGCAAACATGTTAAAGAAGCTGATCTGATCAGATCAGTACAAAATTTATCCTTTGGTCCAAAATGCAAAACACTGTGTGACGAGATATCAACACTGCACAGCATCTTGAACACATTACTCCCACTGTGAAACATGGTGGTGGCAGGAAGGTGTTGTGGAGGTTGTTATTCTTTTTAATTACCAGGAACAGTGAAGCTGGTCAGAGTTGTTGGAAAGATGGATGATGGAGATAAATAAAGGACAGTCCTAGAAGAAATCTTGTAAAGGCTACAAAAGATTTGAGACTGTAGCAGAGGTTCACCTTCCTGCAAAACAACAACCCATACCATGCAGCCATGGATTCAATTAAAATTTATTTATGTGTTAGAATGACCTGGTCAAAATCCAGACCTAAATCCGTCTAAGAATCAATGGTAAGACATGAAAACTAGTGTTCACAGATGCACTCCACCTGATCCGACTGGGCTGCAGAAAATATGAAGGATGGGCAAAAATGTCAGTCTCCAGACTGAGCAAGGCCAGTAGGGATATGATCTAAAAGACTTGCAGCTGGAGCTGCAATTAGAGGTTCATCTACAAAGTGTTGACTCAGGCGCTCTGAATTCAAATGCAATCTTTACATTTCAGTTTATTTTGGAAAAAAAAAAAAAAAAAAGAATAAATAAAATCATGCATCATGTTTTCCAATTCATAATTATGCACTATTTTGTGTTTATCTATCTCCTAAAATTGTATAATAAAAAATGTTTTTATTTGTAAAATGACAACAATGTAGAAAAGTACAATGGGTATGAATATATTATCAAACCAATGTACGTATCTCTCTTTTTTCTTTATTTGTTTTTAAATATAATTCTCAGTTGAATCCAAATACTCCAATCTACTGTAAAAGTATAAAGCACCGTTTTTTTTTTTTCATTTTTCATGTTAAGCTTGCAGTTTTGTTACTGGACAGCAATTACTTTTTAATGAGCTAATTTTGATATAGATTACCTTCATATCTAACTTAACTTCAAAGTGTTCAATTAAAGAACTCCAAATGGCTTTTGGTTGTAAATAATTTATCATTTCAGAATACCACCAACACTGCTCGTCTTTTTATGTAATTTAATTAGTCTAAATGTTTTTATGCTTTTGAGTTGTTATTTTGATGTTGGTACACGTTTTAATACACACACAGACAAAACATGTCTCAGGAATCATCTACATTCATGCATGAGATAAACACATTTTTTTCTCATAGTGATGCAGATAAACCAAGTTTACAAATTTATCACTTGAACATACCTGCAAACTCAGAAGGGATGAAAGAGGTGACAAACCTACGCTTGATTCAGTCATTATTTTAGAGACATCAACAAAATAAAGTCAGGTTCTCTGGACAGATTAAAAAATGTTGAATGAAACTGATCAATGTATCAGGATATTTTAGAGAAGCCTCGTTCAACTAGTCCATATCTGCATCATCCTGTTTTTAAACTCACTCCTATGACTAAGATAATGAAATTAATGTGAAACAATTGATCACAAACAATGACTTTAGGGGTGCACGTGACTTTTATTTTGTTAACTATTTTATTTAGTTTTATTTGTAACACAACTTGCTGTTGTGATAAGCAATGGTGACACTGAACTGCATGTTTAAAAAATATGAATATTAACTTTACCCAATGAACATTTTAATAACACCAACAGTGAATTTAGGGGCTTTCTACTGTTTTCTGATTTAGTGATGCTCAGAACCAAAAATCACCTGATGTCATGCAGCTTTCACAACACTAATTACACTGTGCCAAACAGTGACACAAAACAAAACAAAATCATTTTAGTTAGTTGTGTCAATTATGTAATTATTAAAACAAAATAACTTCCAGGTTCCTTCCTTGCTGCCACAGTTTCTACACTTCATAGCTTTTATTCCCCTTTCCTTCACAATCCTTTTGGAATAACATCTATTTCCTTCTCCCGTTGTTTTCCTTTCCACTATTCTATCACTGATTTTAACTATTTAACTTTCCAGAAAACTTGTTACCTGGGTTCTTTCTCCTTAACACCATATTTCTCTTTCAAAGTGTTCTCTATAACTCCATCAGCTGAACCAGAGGTCTGCAACCTTTACTATCAAAATAACCATTTTTACACCTTCCTTCACTAAATTAAAAGTGTTTAGAGCTGCAACAACCTGCTACAACTGTGATTATTAACTGTTGGCAGGTGGGCCACGTTAGGTTTATTGGAGGGGGCTTTTATGGCCACTAGGGCTTATATTATAAAGCTCAAAATACGTAATGATTTTACCATACCATTCTATTTATAAAGCACTTAAAACAGCGACAAGGCCAACCAAAGTGCCAACATTTATTGATATTTTTACAATTTAAGACAAATGAAAAGACCAGATTTAAAAAAAAATAAAATAAAAACTATGAACCATTCAGAGGGCAGCACGGTGGCGCAACTGGTAGAGCTGCTGCCTCTCAGCGAACAGGTCCCTGGTTCAAACCCCGGTCCAGGGGCCTTTCTGGGTGGAGTTTGCATGTTCTCTCCGTGCATGCGTGGGTTTTCTCCGGGTACTCAGGTTTCCTCCCACAGACCAAAAACATGCATGTTAGACTGATTGATAACTCTAAATTGTCCCTAGGTGTGAGTGAGAGAGTGAATGGTTGTTTGTCTCGTTTGTCTCTATGTGGCCCTGTGATGGACTTGCGACCCGTCCAGGGTGTACCCCGCCCCTCGCACAGTGATTGCTGGACATGGGCACCAGCGACCCCCGTGACCCAAAATGGCATAAGCGGGTAAAGATAATGGATGGATGGATGGATGGATGAACCATTCAGACCTAGGTAATTTTTTTAATTGTGGAAACATTCAATAAGTATGGAAATAAAGTATAACGTTAAAGTGAGTGTTTTACTCCTTGTACTAGTTTCAATATTCACATATTTGCAAAGGAAACAACAGGAAAACTGCTAAAACTAGTCCTTTTTTGTTTGTTTGTATACAACAACAACCAATAAAATTCAGTTTTATGTTGGTTTTGATCAAAGCTTGAAAGAGCCGCTGCACAGGAACATGGATGGTTGCAGACCCCTGAGCTGGACTTCTCAAATCTTAAGGCAAAATCTCGCCGCACACAATACAGACACGCTAGCTAAGATGCTACACACTCCGTTTCCCACACATCCTACCCCCCCCCCCCCCCCACACACACACACACACACGCTGGTCAACAGCTGACATCACTAACGTATCTGTAAGCTAATGTGCAACACGGAGGTGTCTCCCCCCCCCCCCCCCCCC